CGATACTATTTAAGTACTCACTTCCGGTATCGAAAATTGAAATTTTGTGTTTATTTTGGTATCGAAATAGGTATCGGTATCGGCCGATACCGATCTTAAAAGTATCGGTATCGGTATCGAACTAAAAATCCTGGTATCGCCCATCACTAGTTACAAGTTGTTCCAACAACTTCTTACCATCCTGCAATTCAACAATTTGCTAAGAAGTTGTGAGTGACAAGCTTGTATCAACTTGATAAAATAGCAGCATTGTTACAATTTGTTGACAAGCTTGCTACAAACCGGTTGTGAGCACATGTTGTTGACAAGTTCTGAGTATATATATATATATATGCATATAAGTATATATTCATCAAATGTGTAAATCCACGAAACAGAAACAAAGTTTGCCATACATTTTGCAGTAAGGGACAAAATGTTAGTAACAAAATGTATGCACAGTCCAACTGACCGAACATCCAACCAAAAAATCAATGGACTGATCGACTGTCTGACTTAGTGACGGACTCACTGACAGACAAAGGGATGGATGGGTATAGGACTGGCCAAATACTTGCAAGTTATACTAAATGGGTCACAGATGTACATATGTACCTCTAGCAAGGAACTTAAATCTCCCACCCAGCTACAGCCTTCATTGCAGCAATTTACATCTAACTTCTTGATCAATCTTCTGGCCGCATGGTCTTCAAACACCTCCAAATAAAGAATACAGAAGATAAAAATTAATGTATAAAACTCATTTTAGTTCATTGTCAGTATGTTTTACTCTTCTTTCTGGTTTAAATAAGTTAATGCAATCCCCCCCCCCCCCCAAGGTCACTTAACTAGGGCAAAATGCCCTAATTGCCCTCCTCCCCTCTCGGCAGCCCTAACTGATGTGACATAATTTTCAGAACATGGAAGAAAATAAATGGCCCTGTATTAAACTAACCCAAACCCTACCCCTACTCTAACCTTGACCAAAATAATAAAATAAATCCAAAAAGAATTCACGTAAGGTCAGTTTGATGGTTGGAAATGAGTGAAAATCCCAGGAACAAATGTGCAAACTTCGAAATAAGATCCTGTGATAGACTGTGATAAACATGGAGCTTAGGGACGGACCATTATTTTTTTGGAGGGGGGGGATGAAAAATTCTTAAAAAAATTGTTTGCAAAGACAAAAAAGTGCAAATAAATTGTTTGCACACATAGAAAAGAGGAAAAAAATAGTTTGCAAGCTAATGAGATTATGCAACATCAACCAAGGCTAATGACAATGAACAGAGTGCTCACCGAAATACCCAGGGTCTTCACTCCAAAGCCCTGGGATGGGACACGCTGGGCACATGTTGCAATCTACATATGGGTTAAATATTAATCTATTGAATACAGTCATTTTTTTGGGGGGGGGGTTGTATTTTTTGGTATTTTTTGTATAAAATAGGTAATTGGACAAGTACTGGTGTAAGACATTGTGTAGCGTAAATGAGAGGACCAGTATCAGGGCCTTTTTTAACATACAAGCGGTGGGGGGGGGATGTCTGCCTTATGCCCCCCTCACGAAATCACATTTTGCCCCCTCTCCAGGAAAGTGCCTTTTTCCTAAATTTACACAAACAAACCAGCGAAAAGTAAAAAATTGATAAACAAAAAGTAAGTTTTAGGCTTTATCCTTTCTCCTTGTTTAACAAAATCGATTTAAATTGTTACGTTTTTCTACCTGGCACTAAGTAATGATGATAAATTATTGTTAATAATTTTTTATTTTTTGTGCATTTTTTCCTTCTTTTATTTCAAATACAAGTATACTTAGCATAAATTTTAGAGCAAATTTAAATGCTCAGAATACAGGAAATGGCATTTCAGGGCTTCAAATTTCAAAAAATTTCGGGGAAAATATGCCCCCAGACCACGTTGCCGTCAGCCATTCCTATCCTCCTCTAATATATTATCTCACAGAAAGGTCCCCCCCCCCTCACACGGGAAAATCTTTAAAAAAGGCCCGGACCAGTATACCAAAAAAACTATTAAATGTCTGTTTACATATTAAATTTATACTTCTGACAACACCACATGTTGTTCGATCACCAGCGCCGTAGCAACCGGGGGCGGGGCGGCTGCAGCCCCCACAACAATTTGCTAATAATTATTCATTTTTCAAAATCATGCAGACCTTTATCATTTAATTCATGACAAACTGCAAAGAATGAAGATATTACCCATACTTTCCTGCAACTTATCCAATATAAAGTTTAGTACTACAGAATTGTAAATTTCGCTGTTTTCTGACCATCAGAATTCTGTCAAATCTTCCCCAAAGTCCAGGAAATAATGGCATTTCAGAGACTCTAAATTTAAAAATTTCCTCGGGTCTTCGGTCCTCGCTTTCAGCCCCCCCCCCCCCCAATCGAAAAGAGCTTCCTACGGCCCTGATCACACATGCAATAGTGTAATTGGGCACCAATTAAACTATATATATCAATTTATAATGAAATCCACAGCAATCAGATGGACAAAAAAATTGTTTGCGGAAGGAAGCAGGCACAAAAAAATTGTTTGCAACGACAACAGCACCAAAAAAAATTGTTTGCGTTGACAAAATGTCCATCCCCCCCCTCCAAAAAAATAATGGTCCGTCCCTTACCATAGCTCTGGATATACTAATTCTGCACGATGGGCAACGACAATCTCTCGTGTTAAAATGTCAAAATTATTATTTTATTAATCAATCAATGCAAACAAGGACAAATGCAGATGGATTGGTATGGGTTAACTAATGATTGCAAAACCGTCTGCACATGCATATCTAGAATAAAAATACTTGAGTTGGTTACTTGGTTGAATATCTCAACAGTCTAATAGCTTAAACGCTTTATACTCTCTCAAAAGACAGAACTGTTTTAACTATAGTACAATTACCATGAAACAAAAATTATACTAACTACAAATCTATTTAAAACTTTAAAAATCTCAAATCTTACTTGAGAATATCGTCAATACAAAGAGCACAAAATTGATGTCCACAATCCCTGATTTGCACGGGATCTTCCAATACTTCCAAACAAATAGCGCATTCAAACGAATTTCTTGCCGCATTCTGATCTTTAAACCACTTCAGTGGGTAGCCAGAATGACAGTTTGTTGCCATTTTGTAAAATATACATGATTAAATAAACCATTCCATTTCGAATTCGAGAGTCCTCTTCTGAGAAATCTTATGGGATATTAAATTACCTCCTTTCGAAGAATACGTTTGCTCCACCAATCATACTGCTCCATTTAGGTCACATGATGATATTTTTGCAATTTATGCAATTTTACAGCTTGCCACCTGTCTACAAAGATTCCACGTTTTATTTCCTTCGTCTTTGTTTCTTGGTTTATATAACTACTTGCCAAAAACATGAAACACCGATCTATCTATTAATTATGACAACAAACGGTCATTCTGGTTATCCATTGAAGTGGTTTAAAGATGAAAATGTGGCAAGAAATTCATTTGGGTGTGCCTTTTGTTTGGAAGTTTTGAAACATCCCGTGCGAGTGAGAAATTGTGGACATCAATTTTGTGCTCTCTGTATTGACGATATTCTCAAGTAAATTTGGAAACTGGATTAATAGTTTCGTAGCTAGAATAATTAATTTGTCGAATATGCGAAGAATATGTAGATTTGTTATGTGAACGTCCGCCATTTTTCAACATTCGCAGGGGGAGTGAATACCTCTCATAAGTGCGCTTTCTACGTGGCGACATAGTCTTTCGAGACATGGTCTGGAAACTCAGTAAACTTCAAAGCGGCTATAATGAGCTGGGAGTTTATGTTGAACCGTACCTTACACCGTGTTTTAGGTTACACCGTGTTTTAGGTTTATTAATATTTAAATAGCATGGTTGAATGACTGAACTGAAACGTTGCTATTGGATGATTCCTTCATTACACTGAAATACAATGTGTTCATTGACCGTGCACAAAACTGCATAAACGCGGCGAACAAAAAGATAGAACAAAGACTTTAGCGGAGTTTCCAAACCATGTTTTGAAAGACTATGGTGGCGGCTGAGCCAGAATGTTAGGCAAAATCAAGAAGTCGACCTTCTGCAGGGTTCCTATTCTGTGATTATACACTGGCATAATGGCATAATTAACCTACACCATAATTAAATTTGTCAGCACTTTGTCAGCATGAATAAAAAGTTTTTAAACCATTTTGAATGCTAAAATTTTATTTCAAAACTAAAACTAGTGCAAAAGTTGACCCTGTGGAGGAAGCATGCTAAAGTGATACCAAAGCCAAAGGGGCTGGGAGTGCGCATCCCAGTAGGCAATTCCAGCTTTTAGTTTATGCCTGCAGGGGATGATGGGAAGTAAGGTATCATAGTGCTGATTATGCTGAAAAATTTCAATAAAAACTACCGAAGCAACCAAAATATTTCAATATTTACAAGTATAAGCTATCATCACTCCGTGTTTACACGGCCACCATTTCTATTTTTTCAGCATAATCAGCAATGCGATACCTTACTTCCCATCGTCCCCTGCACGCATAAACTAAAAGCTGGAATTGCCTGTTGCCAAGGTCTTTCATGTGAGATCTTGGCAACTGGGCTAGCCCAGTTTTTGAAATAAACACAATTAAGTAATTTAATTTCCACTATAAAATACTACTACAGTCTACATGTCACTGACTAATCATTAGTTAAATTTTAATTTTAACAGAACAGATTCTCGTTGTCCATCATGCAGAATTAGAATATCCAAAACCAAGGTAAGTTCGCAACTAGTATACTTTGAAACTGAATGTATATAGTATTTGGTAATGCAATATTGCTTTTTGACTGGTAGTTAGATTCATTATATTATTGTAATCTCAACAGTTTATATATTCAAAGGTGTTTAAAGACTATGCAGCCAGACGTTTGATCAAAAAGTTAAATGTAAATTGTTGCAATGAAGGATGTAGTTGGGTGGGAAAATTACATTCCCTTGAAAAGGTACTGCTACATTTCTGGCTGTATTAGTAACTGAGTGAGTGATGCACTTGGTTGGTTTGTTGGCGTGTCAGTTGGTTTTTCAGACAATCAACTCATTGGTCAGTCACTCCTGAAATCAGCACAGCCTTCCAAAGTCAGTCATTCAGTCAGGACATGAATTTGTGCACTTTAAATAAACTATGAGGGTATTGCAGACTTTATTTGATATCTATGATTTCTCTCTCACTATTTAAAGATACTGTGCTTTTTATTGTCTGTTGTTTATTTTAGTCTCATATGAAAAGCTGCAACGTTTTGGTTTCCAAAGCCGATGACAATACTGCGAAACACTTGGATGTGGCGAAATATGAAGCAAAATGCTGTGAAACTCTCTTGTTGAATGTTTCAACATTAGAAGGATTGGTAATTCGTGTAATTCTTGTGGTGGTTAACCGCCCTTTTTATCTGCGAATGCTATCGTGTGGGCAATTAAGTGTGTGTTTTGTGTATGTTACGCTGGTCACCAGAGGACAATAACACACAATTCTTAGATTTGCGAAGTGTGTTTTACGAGTACTGAAAGCCGTCTTGCAAAACACCAGTCGCCACTAGATTTTATGTACTATTTAAAACATGAGCAGCAGTGTTTTATCAGATATAAAGATACGAGGCGAAGCCGAGTATCTTTAGGTCTGATAAAACACGTACTGCGAATGTTTTAAATTGCTTCAAGAACGATCAATCTAGTAAGTTCATTGGCGAAGTAATTTTCAAAAAATACGTTGTGTAAGTAGAGAAAATCAAAGTTAAAGTTTATGTAAATCAAGGGAAATCTCTATCACGTATAAAGATACGAGACGCTTATAATTTTTCTTTGTGTTTTCCTCATGAATTATTAATGAGTTTTTGAAGTTTGAAACGAAAACCAGAATGATTCATATTACTGAAAACGTGTTTCGGCGTTTGCTGGTATTAAATACCTAAATTAAACTTGTGTATTTTAGCGTGGCAAAGAGGTAAAGAAACCCAGAAAACAGATGGCGTCTTTAGGAACATATACAAAGCTGCAGCCACCTACTCATATACAAACTCTGGAACGACTTAGGCGTAACCCAATCGTAACAGTAGCCTTGAAGATACGAAATTTCACTAGAAAATTAAGGCTAGCGAAATCAAGCAACAGATATGGGAGAATTGACAGTAAACCATTTTATACTCATCATGGATACAGAATGAAAATCTCAATCTATTTGAACGAAGGCCCTCGCCGGCCTCGCGGATACAAGGGTTACATGGGCATTTACTTATGTTTAATGCAAGGTGATCATGATAACAGATTGAAATGGCCCTTTGACAAAAGAGTGACATTTATCGTTGTTGATCAACAAAATAGCAAATCAAAAGTAGATAATTTCGAAATAACTATGATTCCAGAGGGACAAAAAGAATTTAATAGGCCGTTAGTTGGAAAGAACGAAGGTCTTGGTAATCCACAGTTTATGCTCCATTCCACTCTACGCACTCGAGAGTACGTAAGAAACCATAATGTTTACATTGCAGTCGCAATAGAACCTTAATCTAGCTTCCGAATGAAAATACTTTCTGAACATTGTTCCTATTAATTGTTGGACTTTATTTGCTTTCTGCCAGCAAGAGATGAAGGATTGACTATATAAATAATTATAGAGAGTGTTGAATGATTTAGTTAATGTACTAACGATGTCTTAAAGTGAATACAGTTTGACTTTCGTTCCACCTTTTTGTTCACCTGTAGTGATTCGTACAATGCATAATTCAGACACGATTATTAATACCGTCAATATTTTAAACATCAGAGGTAAATGTCTATTGGTTAATTAGATATTTCTGTTATCTATTATTTCTATGACTGTAACGCATGTTTAATTTAGAGCAATTTACAATTTTTCACTCCCAAGAGTTCTACTCACAATTCAATAACACTCAACAAAGCGTATTTTAACAACGCATTTATTAATTTTAGCGTCTCCTAGTACATTAAACCTTTTATTTTTACTCATTTCATAAATATAAGCTAGTCCGATAACTACATTCCCGAAAAACTAAGTCACCGTATATAGTTAATTTCCTCAATACGTTTAGTCTATAAAACACTAGGATGAATGCACTGCGCCAGGAAACGAATTGAAGTCTCATCACTATATAGGGTTTAGTGCATTTACCATAACAACTTTGTGTCCTGCATTCGCTGCAGGAGATGGACATCTTCCTCTTCACGTTTTTAAATCGATGACCTTCAGCATCGTTTACTGTCGATTCCAAGTCTTCTAAAGAATCATCATTTACCCACAACCATTTCGGCTTTGCCCAGCAAGCGTGAATGGCGCACAACAGCAACAACGCGAGTATAACTTTCGGGCAACTCTTCATAATGCTGGACCAAAATTCTCTCCAAAAGATGCGTCTGTTTAATAGACTTGTCCTCCGACTTTCCTGTTGTCTTCAAACGTTTACAGTTCGATGTCCTTTCTTTCAAGCAGTAACTCGGAATGAATTATACTAGGACGTTTGGTGTACTGCTTTTATATCCACGTTTGTGTACTGCACCACAGGTATTTCATGCTGCCGAACTGAAAACAACGCTATATAATTTATTATATTTGTACAGTGACTCTTAACTCCTTAAAAACTCCTTAACATAAGGTATAATATGAACTAGAAGTTATATGACTGCACGTGCCGTTAAACATCTGCTACGGAACAGTTCAATTCTTTGTACAGTTCTCTGATTATAACTACTGCCTGAGTCGCGTGTAAAATAGTGCTTTTATTTAGCTTCCTGCACGTTTACCCGTCAATATATTCTTATAATTTACCTGAAAATCAGCTCTGCACTCGTGTCACCACTAAATTCACCCCGCTGAAATTACTCATGAACAAATATTGGGGGGGGGGAGGGTTACAACCCCTGTATCCCCATCCCC